TTGTTATTACTTCGTTCAGTTACGTATTACTATGTACAATCATCTATTAAATAACGAAAAATATTTTAATAAATTCTAGATGTTCTGAGTGGGTTAAGAACTGCAACAGGCATGATTTTAGAGCAAAATCACCTATAGATTTGCATAGAGGGTATAGAGTTTGTGGAAAACACTTTCAACCTACCATGTTTGCGGGAATGTCTCAAAGCCGTCTGAAGAAATTTGCTGTTCCAACTTTATTGATGTCAGGTGGGTTCATAAGCATTATTTTTGTTACTTGTAATTTTCAAATCATCAGTTGCTTGTTTATCTGCACAATCGATTTATACACTTGCACCAACGAACATTTAAATAAACAAAAATAGTTTATAGATAGGCATTTAGAAAATCTAGTTTCAGTCTGTTCGTGGTGGTTCTGTGTAATATTTTCAATATTTTTATGACAAAATACTATATTACTGAAAAACAAAACTTTTGACAATAACATTTAGCTTTCAATTTTGCCTCTTAAAATTGTGTTTGTGATATGTTCAAAAATTAATGTCTTTTGTAGACAATTTATATGGAAGTTGAAACTACTATTCCTGCTGTTCCTATTACATCTGAAGGTGAGTAAAATACTATTTTTTAACCTTTTAAACACAATGCAATAGGGTATGGAATTCCAGTTTTTCAATAAAACATTTTATTTTATGTTTCAGCGGTTTAGAATCTACTTCACCAGATGTAATTGCTATTCCATCAACATCCAAAGGAAGTTACATCTGAAAGTGAGTAAAATATTACCTTTTAAACACAATGCTGAATATAAATCTGAACTGCCATACCGATATAGGGTGCAGGTGTGAAATTTTCAATAAATATTTTTTTTTATGTTTTCAGCTGTTTCGGAATCTACTTCACCAGATGTAATCGCTATTCCATCAACATCCAAGGAAGTTACATCTGAAGGTCAGTAAAATATTTTTTATAAACACAAAGGCTGAATACAGGGTGGCGCACCTCATTTGCCTAGGTGGATTATACGAAAACGTAAAGAATATAGAAACAAAATATTTTATAGGTATATGTGGAAAGACAATGTACTTAATTTAAAAATTATTTTTAAAATGTACAGGGTGTCAGGATAAGATCCATACCAAAGTTATATTTTTCTTATGGAACTTACGGTATTTTATTTCCTTTGGGATTCTTGGACATAAAATAAGGTATTTATTATAAAAGGGTTTAATATGTTTTAAAAGGTTGGTTTTGAGATATTTAAATACATTTAAATATGCATGTTATAATAACAAAGTTTGTCAACATCCTGTACATTAATTTTTAGAGTTAATTCTTGTGCTGACTTTGAAATGAAATAAACTTTACTAAAAAAATGTATTGCATCCTTAAATGTATGGGGAATTATCAAAATTGCTGGTCTATTTTAAGTATTTACTTTACATAAAACTTTGTTATTTCAAACACAACACTATGTATTTTTTTAAAAGTTGAAGCAGATTTAAATGCTCTTTCAAACTATATTAGGCTTTCCTATACCTATCTGGCTCAGATCTCAGATTTTGAATAAGAGCGACTTTTCAATCGCTTCAATCAAAGGCTGGTGTCATCATGGTGGCAATTTATTTTAGTGACAGTTAGTAGCTCTTTTTAAAATCGACATTAGTTATGGACTTTATTTAAATTTATAACAGTTTATTTTTTATTTAATTTACCTACAATAGTTTAATAAGTATTTATTATTTTATCAAAGAAAATAAAGTAGTTCTTTGATTTATATTACGATGACTGGTAGATATATTGGATTTTTCTATAAAAGAGAGAATTAAAGGCAAATTCAGTTTCTTTCCTTCCAACGACAGGTTTCTGTCTAGTAGGTTTCTACATCTTTCCGTTGTCATACAATCAACTGAGGCAGATGAGGTGCGCCACCCTGTATAAATCTGTTACTTCCATATATTAATATAGGGTATAGAATTCCAGTTCAATAAATGTTTTTTGGTAGTTTGTTATAATATTTAGAGAAGATCAATATTTCAAATAGATAAATAATATTTTTTATTTCTTGTTTGTATAGATTTTTCACAACAGACACCTACATCCCTTAGTGTGGATAGTCCAAGAAAACATGGATTAAGGTTACAAATTAGAAGTTTGAAAAGAAAGTTGGAATTTCATCTGAAGACTGACAAAACAAATGTTACAAATGAAGACTTTATAGCTTTTTGTAAGGAACACTTCTCTTCGTCAATGGCTAATTTTATTGAACTTTGCTTACAAAATTCCTCAAGGAAATCACATGGATACCGATATACCAACGAATTTAAACAATTTGCATTAACAATTTATTTTTTTTTTTTTTTTTTTTTACATTTTTTAAAGAAATACTTTGAAACATATTTATATAATAAATAAAAAAAAAAAAAATATGTATAATTTTACATATTTATAATAACAAATAAAATGTTATTTTTATTTCAGTCAAATTGTTTTTATTATATTCTATACATTTTCAAATGAAGGTTTGTATTGAAAAAAAATAAAATTGCTGAATCATAAAATCATGACAGCGTCAAGCTTATAGTGGGACCCTGAAATTTACATAAACAGGGTCCCAAACTGCAGTTAAAAGTCCTTATTCCATATAAAAATTCACTACAAATTAGGTTGCTGCAGCAAAATCCTTATTACTTATTGCAAATCCTGCATTTTTTCATAGGCCCCTTTACACAAGTACAGTATGATCAGAATAAAAACGGCGTCAGCATTAATATGAAATGACAATCATTGACATTTCCCATATAAAATGACAGCGTCTTCATTTCATAGCCATCGCTGAGGCCGTTTTTATTCGATCATACGGTATAATACCGTATGATCGAAAAAAAACGGCGTCCAGTTGGCTGAAACGACGATCGATGACTCTACATATAAATTTACATATATAAAACGATAGCGATCTTCATTTCAAAGCCAACGCTTGTTTCGTTAACTCAATCATACAGTATCCTCTACTCTAAAGCCACCTTGTCAGATTATTTTTGTGATTATTCTCTTTGAAAATTAAATATTAATGTTTATTTCTAGAAAAACGAGATACAAAACAATGACTCAATTCAATGAACACTTTTTTTGTAAAATAACGCTTTAAGCATTTTGAATCAATTGGCATGATTTTTCGTATTATTTTACATTATTTATTTTGTCACTACTTACTAAATCTTACTTTTTCAAATAAATACTGTTAAAAAACGAAATACGCTCCTGTCACGATTCACACGTATCTGAGTTCGACCCTGGCTCGTTTAAAGCCATCAACTAATGATCAGCTGTGCGGCGCGCAGGAGGATGAAATCTGTGCGCGAGGAACGGAATTCTTACAACACACTTGAAAAGCACCGACGTTCAGTGAAATTTCTGATTTGTATCTGTTCTGTGAGAGCAGGTTGATCCGCATTATGACAAACACAGCGTAGAATTAAATTTCTATATTAGCAGTTAAGTGGCAAGAATCCTTATATAATTTTATTATATACCTCTACTGCAAGAAATTTGTTTTCTATTTTTACTTAAGTAAGGTATATACCGTATGATCGAAAAAAACGGAGTCTAGTTGATTTGGAAATGAACATTGATGATATTAGCTAATATTTTTAATAGAAAATTATAGCGAACTTCATTTCATAGCCATCGATGACGACGTTTTTTTTTTCGATTATATTGTATTTATATACAGGGTGGCCCATCGAAAACGTTCCGCAAGGCATAACGGCCAGGGTAATTTTTTTTGCAGAAAATTCAAAAACACGTCAATTTTGTATGTGAGGGTTAGCTTTGTCCCAAAATGATTGCAAAATCTTCCAACCCTCTAAGTGGGGGTGTCATCCCCAACTTTTCAAATGGGAAGGGGTGTCAAGAGGTACCGCAATGGGCTTTTATTCTATATACTTTCCCGCTTCGTTTTTAGAAAATCGGTCGAGTCATTGAGAAAATATGAAGAGGATTGAAATTTGAAAGTTGTTAAACATTTATCAGGTAAATGATAAGGATAAATTCCTTCGACCAATTTCCTGTTTTTTCTTATTATTTCTAGATGTTTACACTTGTTTTTCACTTGCCACAGGTTGAACGATCAGGTGCGGCAGTTGCTTCAGATAGCTGTTCTGTGACTTGTGTGTTGAAGTTCTTCTCAATATCGTTAAACTTAACAATTATGGTTTACTCACTTGCAGAAAAAGTGGAAATAATCGGACTTTATTTTAAAAATAATGAATGCTCTTAACAATCGGAGTTCCGCAGATATTCAATGAATGTCATCCTGAAAAACACCTTTATGTCAAAATTGTTCGCGAGTTAGTAGCAAGATTTCGTGAAACTGGTTCCGTTATATGAATAAAAGAGCCAGATGGAAAACCCTGCCAGTAAATGAAATGGAGGTATTCGTATTGGGCCAAGTTGCCATGGATGGTACGCCGAGTACAAGAAAATTAGCCAATGCAAAATTAGCCGGCGTGAATCGTACCAGTGTCAAAGGATATTAAAAAAACACAAGTTCCACCCGTCCAAAATTCAGTTGGTACAAGAACTCAACGGAGACGATTTTGATCGTCGCTTGCAATTTTGTGAAACTATTAGTGAACGAGTGGCGAATGATAATAATTTCCTATTTAATGTGTGTTTTTCGGATGGGAAGGTGTGCTTCTTTTTTGAACGGTGTAGTTAATCGGCATAACTGTCGGTACTGGGCTGAGGAGTTTTTCACGAGGTGCACACAAAACCCTCAGAATTGAACGTGTGGAACAGGTATTTTGAAAATTCTATTTTAGGTCAGTTTAACGATATTGAGAAGAACTTTATCGCACAAGTCACGGAACAGCTATCTAGCAACTGCCGCACCTGATCGTACAGCCTTGTGGCAGTGAAAAAATGCGTAAACATCTGAAATAATAAGAAAAAACAGCCAAAATGGGTCGAAGGAATTTATCCTTATCATTTACTCTGATAAATGTTTAAATAAACTTTTTCAAATTTCAATCCTTCATATTTTCTCAATGACTCGACCATTTTCAAAAAATGAAGCGTGAAGTATAGAGAATAAAAGCCCTTTTCATTGCGGTACCACTTGACCCCCCTTCTTATTTGAAAAAAGTTGGGGGATGACACCCCCGCTTAGGTTGAAGATTTTGCAAATCATTTTTGGGGCAAAAGTTGTCCCCCTCACAAACAAAATTGATGTGTTTTTGAATTTTCTGAAAAAAAAATTACCCTGGCCGTTATGCCTTGCGGAACGTTTTCGATGGGCCACCCTGTATACAGGGTGGCCTAGCGTTTCGAAAAAGCTCTATATCACGTTCTGGTTCTATATTTTCGCTTCATTTTTTTAAGATACGCGGTAAATGGTAGCGCACATTTCAAACATTTTTTTTTCGATATACAGGGTGATTCAGACATATATTCAAACTATAATTGTATATTTTTTGCCGTTAAATTCCTATTCCAAAAATATTATACTGTCATATTCTATACAGAGTGTTTTTGAAATGTCACCATTTTTAGACTAAATTAGTTAGTCTTAAATAAGTGCTTATATTTCGACATCACGAACATGTCTATGAGGGTTTTTCGCAAAAAAGGTGTTGAAAATCTTGCACTCTCTTTTAAATTTTCCTGTATATTGTAGTGAACTTTTTAGAACTGCCTGTCCACTGCAAATTTTCGCACAGTATAATCTGATATTACTATGGTTAAGGTTTTTACTCTATGGTTGTGGTACTAAAAAGGATGCAAATACAGAAATAAACCGGTGACCTTTTTTTAAATGTTCGATCTTGAATAACTCGGTTATTTTGGCCATACCTGTAGAACGGCAAAGAGAAAATGTGTTTCTTTTATCGAGATCTTTACCAGCCCTGAAAGCATTTGCTCTTATTTAAGACACCCTGTATACTCAAAACTGTTTATTTTTTTATAAATATACAGAGTGAGTCTTAAATAAGTGCAAATATTTTCAGGGCAAGTAGATTTCGATAAAAGACATATATTTTCTCTTTACCGTTTTTCAGTCTTACTTTGAAAATTAATATTTCGCTTAGATTTTGAGAACCGTTGGATCTTTTCCGGGGTTTCTTTTTTTTAAATTTAATCTATTACCTATGTTATCATATTATGAAAATATTATGTTTTTTTTTAAGTTTCCAAAACATTTTTCAAAAAAGTTCCAAAATTATTTTTTTTTCGCAAAAATTAAGCCTCGTAGACGTGTTTCTGTGATCGAAATATACTACCCCTAAAAATATTGCACTTATTTAAGACCTCGCCTTGTATAGTAATTAAATTACCTCAAAGTATTTACCGTTATTACAGTAAACCATATCTTATAGATAAATTTTAATATGAATATCTAGACTAACTATTGGTGACATAAATTGGAGTTTGCCTGTAACAAATAGCCACATTTGTTCGTTAATTGTTGCTATTAAATGAATGTAGCGACAAAGTTAATGATAAAATCCAGCCATTTTGTAATTGGGCGGGATAGCGAAATAATTCTATTTCGAAAAATATTGCATATAGTCATTGGTTGGTACATTTATTAAACAACGGTTGAATTTATTTATCAGTGGTTATTTTAGTCCAACGTGAATTGCCTTTTTAATTAAATTTTGCAATTTATAAATTTGGTTTGGTAAATTTTGTAGCTTTATTCCTGTTTGTGTTGCGAGTCCAAAAAGTTCTATAGGTAATGCTACCTAATATGATACATATTGAGAATAGTTTGATTGCATTTAGAGTTGGGAAATTTAAAAAAGAGATGATATAATTTTTAAACAGCACCCAAAAAACACTTTAGGCAATGCTGGTGATTCATAAGTTGTATCAGAATTATAAAAAGTAAAAGAAATAAATAAAAAATAGGTGCCCGGTGGCGTAGAGGTACAGGCTCTAGTCTACCAATCTCAAGGTGTGGGTTCGATTCCCACACCCGGCATTTCATCAGCCGACTATTTTTATTAAAATAAAAATAGTTTGGGTACCTAGGTCGACTCAGCCTTAAATGAGTACTTGGGATTCACAATCCTGAGGTAATAATAGGCGGTTGAAGCAAATATTATTCCTATTCTTAAATTGAAAACCGCGTTTCGCTAGCTAC